AATAATTTCCGGAGTGTGAGTGTTATGTATTTGGGCTCATTAGGTACAAAATTACTTTTCCAGATATTTTTGTAAAGATAAAAGCAGTCGAGCCAGCCAGGAGTCGAACCTAGAATCTTCTGATCCGTAGTCAGACGCGTTATCCATTGCGCCACTGGCCCACGAGAACAAATGGGTGCATTCCATTTGAGGAAGCTACAAAAAAGAGCTTCGTTATATGCGTCAGAATTTTTCTATTTTTTTTCAGTCAAGTACACTGAGAAGGCCAGTTAAAAATTCGATATTCACACCCACTTGTGGTGAGAAATACTTGTTTTCTGACACTGACAGCCTTGCGATTCGAACAAAGGGTTTGTCGCCATTTATCTTTCTGCTGCAGTTCATTTTTACGGGAAGGTGTGATAAAAGAGGTCGTCTAATTTATGGCTGACCGCCAATAAATCTCTGCACATCCCCCGCCTTTCCCCCCGTCCCCGGCCTGAAGGCCTGTAGCCGCCATTTTATTTGAAAACCCTTCTTCCAGACCCCAGGGTGAAGGAATGAGAAGGAATGAGAGACGGACCAATCAGGAGATGCTACTATAAATTGGTGAATTGTGATTGGACCTTAGGGACTAATGAAAGTCCGGAGCCTCCTTGTCCAATTGTAAAGGCACATTGTCTTCCATTTTAACCAATGAAAAGGCAGAACGCCGTTGTCCAATTATTTTTCCACATTGGCGCCCATTTCAATCAACGAAAAGGTTGTCCAATTGTATTGCCATATTAGCTTCAAACGGAACCAATGATAAGTCAGATTCACGCTGTCCAATTGTACTGCTACCCTGCACCATCTAAGCCAATGAGCAGACAGATTCCCGTTGACCAATTGTATTGCCGAGTTGCTTGGGGCTTGGGCCAATGGTATGGTGCGGCTGCAGTTGAGCAATTGGTTTCATCTCGGACCAATGACAGGACGGTACGGGGTAAGCGCGGCCAATGGGATGGCCAGGTTCTTTGCGCGGGAGGTGTGATGGCGCTGTTGTGAGCTGCAGTACCGGGGGTAGGTAAACACTGAGGGAAGAGGTCGGTGTACAGTCGGCGAGCGCATGGTCCGTAAGACCCTACGCTGTGGGCTTGGCACTACAGCCGTATTCGTTATAGTGGTGCCCTGCTAGCCTCAGGTTAGACATGACACTTAGTGTGTGCTGCTGAAGGCCATTTATAGTACACAATACTCACGGTGACCATCTCTTATGAAAGAACAGACATTGAAGATTATTTGCATGAAACACCATATAAGTGTACAGAGTGCTGGAAAATGGTGGTAGAATTGTTAGGTAACAAGGTGTAGAGCTGGATGAACACAGCAGGCCAAGCAGCACCAGAGGAGCAGGAAGGCCGACGTTTCTGAAGAAGGGCCTAGGCCCGAAACGTCAGCCTTCCTGCTCCTATGATGCTGCTTGCCCTGCTGTGTTCATCCAGCTCTACACCTTGTTATCTCAGATTCTCCAGCATCGGCAGTTCCTACTATCTCTAGAATTGTTGGGTGTTGGTTTGTGTCTTGCTCAGACTCGATTGGCTGAGGGGTCTTTTTTTACGTTGTACTTTTCCATCATTCAAAGAACTATTTAGAAGAAACACCATATAAGGCTACAGGCCCAAGTGCTGAAAAATAGGTTTAGAATATTTTTTATTCACTCATGGGATGTGGGCATTGCTGGCTGGGCCAGCATTTATTGCCCAACCCCAACTGCCCTTGAGAATTGACAATTGGTGATAATTGAGTGGCTTGCGAGGCTGTTTCAGAGGGCAGTTAAAGGTCAACCACAGCCTATGGCCATACTGCAACGCGAAGATGCTGGTGTTGGACAGGGGTGGACAAAGTCAGAAGTCACACGACATCGGATTATAGTCCAGGAGGTTTATTTGAAATCAGAAGCTTTCAGAGTGCTGCTCCTTCATCCAGCTGAGTTTTCACCCACTGCAAAAGTTTGTGATTTCAAATAAACCTGTTGGACTACAACCTGGTGTTGTGAACTTCTGACTATGGCCGTACTAGAAAATGCCCGATCATAATGTAAAAGACATTTTGGTTAAGTACATGAGTAGGAAAGGTTGTAGGGATATGGGCCAGGAGCAGGCAGGAGGGACTGATTTAGTTGTTTGGCATGGACTGATTGGACCGATGGGTCTGTTTCTCTGCTGTGCAACTATGTCTAATCTTGGACCCTAAGAAAACTCAGGCCTGGTTAGTACTTGGATGAGACACTGCCTGGAAATATCAGGTGCAGTTGGCTTTAAGGAGCCTGCTTGTGGCACATTGGTAGTGTTTCTACTTTTGGACCAAGCAACTCTCAACAATGGTTTCATGGTTTTAAACTAAAACTCTTAATTCCAGGTTTTAAAATAAATTGAATTCAAATTCTGTCATCTAAATATTGAACCTAGGTCCTAGAATCCTGGATGTTTAGATTAATGGTCCTACAATAATACCAATAAGCAATCAATATCCCCATGAGATAGAAGAAAAAGATAAAAACCGAAAGAACTGTGTATGCTGTAAATCAGGAACAAAAACCGAAGTTGCTGGAAAATCTCAGCAGGTCTGGCAGCATCTGTGGAGAAAAAAAATCAGAGTTAACGTTTCGGGTCCAGTGACCCTACCTCAGAACCTCGAAAAGTAGATGTTTGATGAACCAATACAGACACAATGGGCTGAAATGCTTTTTCTCATGCCGTTAAAAGTTTTATGACTATCTATAAAATGATGGGACATATTGATAGGTGGGGAGGTGGTAAAGTTCTGGTCACAGGCAGAGATAATTCATGGGCCCAGTGCATCTCTTCTCCTGGCTCCACCCACCCCCAGGATGGCAGGCCTTCTGGAGCTGAGTTATTGGTATAAGAGGATTGTGCATGCTAGAATCAGAAATATAAACAAAAAGTGCTGGACAAAATTAGTAGGTTTGGCAGCACCTGAAAAGACGGAAACAGAGCTAACATTGCGAGTACAGTTTTCTTTGGAAACTGGACTCAACATTAACTGTTTCTAACTGCACAGATGCTCCTAGACGTGTTGAGTTTGTCCAGCACTTTGTTTTTCTGCCTGGTTATTGATCCCTGGTTCTAGTTGCCTTAAGACCTGGGGAAGGCTGGGGACTAACTTAATGGAAAATTCTAATTGATTGGATGGTGTCATCACATTATCATCTGTGTACAATGTTGCAGTCCCACGCCATTAAGCCATCTGAAACTTCAAGGCTATGTATCCTAAGATTTCCCTCATGTGACTGTTGCTTCTTTTGTCAATTATTTTTAAATCAGTGTCTGTGGTTTTAGGGTTGACCAACCTATGATTTTGACTTAACTTCTAATGCTAGAAGTCTGAAATAAAAATAGAAAGTCTAGGCTGGTTAACCAGCATCGAAAAGGTAGGTTAATATTTTCAGTTGTACACTTCAAATCTCAGATTTATTCAGTCACATTGAAAGATTAGATTAGTTGCTGTGAATGTTGGATATCAGAAATAAAAACAAAATGCTGGAGGTATTCAGCAGGTCTGGTAGCATCTATTGAGAGAAAAACATAGATGCTTCCAGAACTGCTGCAAATTTCCAGCATTTTCTTTGTTCATCTTGTTTATGATTTTTTTCTGTGGTAGTTTACTTTTTTGTGGTGCCTTCGTGTCTTTGAAAGGTGTATGGAGGCATTCCATAAAATGCAGGTATTTCCATTAAATACTGAAGTAGCTTTTCTTTGAAGGTCGCGTTTCGTGTTACTTTCATATGAGCCAAGATGGATCAGAAGATTTTGGATTTGGCAGCAGCTGAGGATGGTCAAGGTTTGCTGCAGCTCCTGCAGCACATGAAAGAGCAGGAGGTGAGCAACTTACTTTGCCTTCTGTAATGCAGCATTGAGGTCTGTCGAAATGTAATTACTTTCAACAAATCATTTTGAAGTTTAAATAAAATGTTTATAATATATTGCATTCAAATATATTAATTTAAAGGTGCATGTATCAGAATATTGTCCTAAACAAAATGATGGAAATCTGTACTAAAAAAAGATAATACTGGCAATAAGTAGCAGGGCTTACAATATCTATGGAGACAGGTCAGAGACCCAAAACATTAACTCTGCTTTCTCTTCCATGTGACTTGCTGAGTATTTTCAGCATTTTATGGTTTTGTTTCAGAATATTTTCATCTTTTTTGAAACATGTTTGAATATTATTGAGCAAGTACTTTACTGCCTAGTTTAGTCACATCTTTTATGAGCTTAATCCCCTGCAGATTCTGGAAACGTTTCAGGGGCTTTTCACAGGCAATCCAGTATACATGTATAAAAAGTTCCAACTAATTTCTGTTTGTATTTGTTTCAAAAGGGTTTAATTCCTTATAGAAAAGGAATGTGTACACAAATGTGAGTTTGTGAATGCGATACTTATGTCAAATTCAGAGTAGTACGTATTCTGCCCCTTGTTTTACTTTGTGTTTAATTAGTTAACAGTCTGAAATTACAATTTGAGTGTTGCTTTTGTTATAGGTTGGTGCCCTAATAACACGGTATGCTTTGAAAGGGAAGGAGACTGGAATGCTCATGAGAGCTATTTTTAAAGGTTAGTGCTCAATTGTATATAATATTTGTGTATTACGTTCCGGTTTTAACATGCAACAGATTAATGCATTCCATTCCTCATCCCATCACCTTGTGTTTGGTTAGAATAAATGCATGTTGATCAGTTTACAGCATATAGAAAGAAAATATTTATTTTTCAGCAATGTAATTATTGTAATATAGTTTTGAAGACAAATGAAAATGGCATCTACTGACTTAAGACCAATGTGTACACCTACTGAATAGTAAATAAATGAAAGAAATATATTTATAGCAATTACCCTTAATCCAGCAATATATGTGTCCTACTGTGAATCAGTTATCAAATTGTAGACCACAATGTGCCCATTATAAATGGCACTGAAAGAAGGCAAAATTTGAAGCTATTCCCTGGATTTGAAACAATTGTATGCAATCTCTCTGCAGCACCTGATCCCCCACCTCTTAACGAGTGAATTCCTAGAAGTTTAGTTAAGTGCTGATCAAGTATGTCTTGTCCTTTTGTTTCTCCTTTATAGGTTCTCCTTGTGTATCAAAAGAAGGAGTTTGTCTGAGGCTTTTTGTTTACAAACATTGTATGCAGTTAGTTGAATCAGGGGACCTACAATCAGATGTGGCAACAGACATGATTGGTTTGCTGATGCTTGAGGTAAATTGTGAAATTAATAGATTTTGCCCATCTTTATGATCAAGTAATGTAATGATGCTTGAATTATTTGCATTCAGGCATGTTTGTTTATTATCTAGCCCCTGGTTCCATTCCACGCTCCAGCCCAGAAGCAAGTTCACAAAACACTATCTTTTATTGCTAAAAAGAGTGATCTGTTATTTAAGGATATAATATTTTATATTCGAAATGTAGTCATGTTTTTGGATTAAGATTCTGCTTTTGCAGCTACATTTTCTATTAATCCCTGAAAATTTACACAGAGTATCACATATAAGGTTATATATTTTTCACGCTGACAATATGAGAATATTAATGAAATGGAATTTTGTTTTACTTGTAAAAATAAAAACTTTTGATGTCCCAGTTGATGATTCTGAGTCTATGTAAGATAATGATCTACAAAGTAATTGTCCACTAGAAGTGAATGATTAAAATACTAAAACACACAGATTACAAATGGAGGAATCAAGTAGAATTGTGGCAATGAAAGTATGCTAGAGTTATTGTTAGTTCATTGGTAAAGTAAACAAGGCATAATGGTTTTAGAGAAAATTAGTGCACATTTCTAGTGAGAGAAGGGGATGTGATGAGAAAACTGGGGGAGCGGTAGAGATCCATCAACTATAATGAGCTCATGTTGTCCTGAAAAATGTTTGTATTTAGATTCAATTCTGATTTTCCTTTTAGATTCCCTTATTGACATTGTTGTTACTTGCTTCCTATTCTCCATACAGGTATCATTATATAGGGAAGCACTAGAGTCCAAGCTTTCTGTAAAGAGGGTATGAAGGAATTTAGAACAAGGGTAAAAGTTTTGAAGTGGAGTCATTAGAGGATTTAAACCTGATGTTGCTCTGAAAAGACAGTGATGATATGTGAGTTGTACCTGATGTGGCAAAGGGTATAAATGGCAGTTTAACAAGTTTGCAAGATGGAAGACTGGCTTGGAATCCATTGTGCTCATCAAGTGGCTCCATTGAAATGGTAGTAGCAATATTAACTGCTAGTAAGAAGTTCTTAACATTTCTTGCATCCATGTTGCCTTACTGCTGGGTATAGTACAGCATTATGTTAAATAAATTTTCACCGAGTTGTCCTGTGCTTCTGAGCATAAAGTGTTTATATAAAGAGTTAACAATATGAAATTGTGGGTATTGGGGCATAGATAATTTGCAAAATCTAATGTGAACTGTGTACATTATGTGCTCTGAGTCTGAAGTCTTCTTTTTAGGCTCATCAACTCCCTGGAACTGCTTTAGCTGAACTGGCAAGCCTGTATGTGGATGCGATCAAGGGGGGAAGCATTATCAATGGCAAATCACTGGATCTTTTTCCTACAATACTTACTGTTTTGGCCTCCCAAGAAAGCCTCAATTATGGTGGCGGTAAGGAAAGTTTGAAGAATATTTCATATTTGTTCCTCAGTGCATTTATTGGTGTATATGCGTCTTCTTTTTTGAACTAGTTTAAGCAACCTTATCATGTTGGTAAAATAGCCTCTGTAAGCCGTCTGTTATATATAATTTTACATATTTTTGTTTTCTTTCTGTTTACTAGGTCATTTGAATGGAGAAGAATACAAGAAGCAACTAATCAACACACTATGTTCCAGCAGGCAAGTAGCAACATGTTTGACTAATCTAAAGTAACATATCGTTAGATAGCAATACCTTAGGAAATTGGAAATTCGATCAAAAAGCAATTGGCAACATGAGAATATCCATGGAACCAGAGGATTTCCTTGGAATTTAAGATTACTTCTTGACAAATTCAGTTGCAATGTTCTTCTTCCCTATCTCTTCTAAAATTTTATCATGTGGAGTACTGTTCTATGGATGCCAGCATCCACTATTAAGTTGTCCAATTAATCTGTCTTTATGCCTGTGCTGGAGAGTTAGTGTAGGCAGGCTGTCAAATGATGGAGGTCTGATTCTTTCCTCTCCAACATCTGAGCAAACCCTCTCTAACAGAGGGTCACTGCGGACTAATCAGTAATAGCATCAGAACTCCTTAATTCAGGGTGCTGAGGCTAGTTATGGTGCCCACTAAGTACTGCATGGGCCACAATCAGCTGACTTTACTCAGGCTAGGAATGCCACATGAAACTCATTCTGAAGTAAATTATTCTGCATGTATATTAAGCAAACTTCTCCATTAGATTCCAGCCTGCTCTGTACTTCTAGGTACATAATTTTGTTTCTGTTTTTAAATACTTTCTTTTATTTTCCAGATGGGATCCAAAATGTGTCATTCACCTCACATCAATGTTTAGGTAAATTTATTTTGATCAGTTCAATGACTAAAAAAGAACATTCTATTGAATTGAATTTCTGTAGATAAAAGTTAAATATGTCCATTCTTGTTTATTCTCCTCCCTACAGGGATGTACCACTGAGTATAGAGGAACTTCAGTTTGTTATGATGAAAGTGCTGAGAATGTTCCCCAAGTTGGAACTGCAGGAACTGCCTCCACTTGTCTATCAGTTACTTCTTCTCTCCGCTAAAGTAAGATGAAAGAACCCATATTGACGTAATGATTTGCAGCAAGACTTGATCATTTTAGAAAACTTACTTTCTTCAGTGTAGAAGATCACGTAATGTGTGACACTGCTTCAAAGCGATGATTGAAACTTTAATAAATATGGCCTGACTAAATATTGATGAGAAAGCACAGTTGTTATTCATTGTGCATGATAAAGATTACAGGTAAGATGTCTACCTCCTTACTTAGTGATTCTCTTTTTCTTTTATTCTATAGGGTTGTAAGAAAACTCTTTTAGAAGGGATCGTAACATTCTTCCATCAACAGGATCAGTTGCAGAAAGAAGAACAGACAGGAACTGAGTGAGTTGTCATTATTATTCATGTGCCAGCTTAGGTAAAGTAGCAAGAGGACATTGCATTGGAGTCTGTTCCTGGCCTTATCTGATAGATTTTTGTGTGTGGGTAACTTCAGATCATGAATATTCCTTATCTTTCCGTCACACGCAAATATGCGCCCCTGCTTCTTTCTGTTTAAAAGTATGTCAGAGATTGCAAAATCTGCTATTTACTTGACCCAGGCTGTGTTACCACTTTTGTTTTTGCACAAAAGTGTGCTTTTTTTTCATTTAAAGGTCCATGGAGTTGGAGGCTGTAACAGTGCCACAGGACCAGCTTTATCACGTAGAAGGAACAGTCATTCTTCACATCGTGTTTGCTATCAAATTAGACCACGATCTGGGCCGTGAACTCATCAAATATCTAAAGGTGTGGCAGTGTGTCCAGTTTCTGTCAGCACATATTAACTTGGTTAAGATTGTTCTGCCAGACATACAAAAGAGATGGAGAAGAGTAAAATAGATGAAATTATTTATGGGATGCTGAAGATAGTATTTAGAAACCTTTAGATTAAAAGTGGAAAGGAAAATTGATGTCAGGCACTTTGCAATTTTGAAATTCTGGGAAAGGTTAATTTTGTGCAAAGCAGTCTCTTATCAATTTTGAAGATTATTGGGAAAAAGAAATGTGTGTCGAGTAACCAATCTAAAGCTTAGGAATGGGAAATGTTTGGAAGGATATGGGCCAGGAGCAGGCAGGTGGAACTTGTTTAGTTTGGGATTATGCTCAGCATGGACTGGTTGCACCAAAGGGTCTGTTTCCATGCTGTATGACTCTATGTCTGAGAGGAAAGTGAAGAACTTGCAATGCAGCTTTTTTTAAAATCAAAAATGTGTGCTAAGTTTTTTTTTGTGTTGGTTTTCTGAGATACATGATCATGTTCTACTTCAGCCAAAAGTGCACATAATTCCGTGCAATGGAGACATGGTTTCTGAAAACACCTGTCCCATTTCTATTAAAAATCAAATTAATCAATGATCATCGTACACCTTGATGACCACTGAAGTCATGAATAAAATACTGCAAAACATTTTAAATGATTTTAAAAGCTTTTTAAATTAATTGCTTCTGAGTTTTACCATTAAATTTATTGAAGGAGAAATTAATTTGGGTAGTGCCATTTCAATTGTTAAATCTAAATAATGTAATTTGTCAGAAGATTGCGTTTGGGCTGTATTGGCAGGTTAATGCTTGGTGCCTTAGTGAGGATAGCTGCAGGTTTAGATAGTTTTCTTTGTTCTGTTTCGTTTGTGAACCCTGCCAAGTGCAGACACTTTAATTCTCTCAGTCAAATAATGAAATTGGGAGGGGCTGGGGACAGTCACATCACTGAGGTGTTGTTCGCTCCAAATTGGTCACCCAGGAGCTAGCATTGCCCATTCCTGGGTGGAGAGGTAATGTATCATGTGGAAAGTGTTAAGAGAAGCGGGTATGTTATTCCAAAAGTACTATTTATAATTTATTTTAACCAAACCTAGTTATGAAAATCTTAAATTATCTTACATTTGCCATTTGTCTAGGCTGGTCAACAAGGAGATACCGGCCGGGTTCTCTGCTCTTTTAACATTGCATTGATGCTGTCTGTAGCTAGGATACATCGATTTGAGGAGCAGGTATGTTTATTTTTCCGTCACTTTATTTCATTTAGAATCCCCAAATAGACATGAGTGGGAGTTGACTGGGAAGATTGTTTACACTGAATCATCAAGTCGTAAGATACTGTATATTAGATTAGTGATGTGAAGAATAATGTTTATTACTCAAGTGGAGCTGATTTTGTTCAGATTTAAGTCTCATGGGTGAATTTTATATACTGATGAAATTTTCCATGGTGGTACTCACTAACTAACAGAATTTTGCCTCGACTATTAATGTCTTTTACCCCAGTTTCCGTAAGACTGAAGAAATAAAGTTTCTGCTTATTAATCTAGACTCTGGATCCTGCAGATTCTGCATGTCTTAGCAGTATCTGCAGCTGCTTTCCAAGTTAAACCTTCAGCTAAAGTTTGAACTTAAGTTGTTCAGGATTAGCTATCTTAAACTCTTAAGTTACAACTTTTAGTATCATTAGTTCCACCTTGCTTAAACTTTCAACTTTTGGTGTGATGTCCTTTGTCTTCATGGATTATTGTGCGAGGTATTCTCATGTCTGAGCAATTTTTGATAACTACTTAGTCAACCATGCCAAATAGTGAAGAGCAATAATGGACAATTATGCAGATGTGAATGCTTTATTCAAGAAATTGTAATTTACAACAATCTTCCACAATCTTCTGTTTTTTTGTGTGTGTGATACCATGTGGTTGGGTGAGTTAGCATTTGGCTCTTCTTGAGGTCTAGGTTTGAATCCACCCCTACTTGAAAGGGTGACTAATTAAAATAGTTCACAAATAATACATGATGTGTGTGCCCAAGATGGGAATATCTCGGGGTGAGTTTATCTGCATTCAGTCCCAAGGGCATAGATTTGGACTGGACACTTGTACTACGCATGTTTATGTGTTAGGAAGCTTCAAATTTGCTTGCATGCTTAGGGTAGAGATCTGTGGTTTCTGGGGGACCAGCTGAATATGTGAACGTAGCCTCGTTAAGTTTTACAAAATTAGGAAAGAACACCTGACAGCAAATCATGGACAAGTCTTTCTACTTAATTACATTAGAACTGCAATTTCTTGCGGGCCTTTAAAACAAAGTTTAATTTATAACCAAATATGCTGAAAAAGTACAAAAGGAATTCCCCTCTTGCCTGGGCATTGATCTTCTGAGGAAGGTTTCTCCTGAAATTGTGACCTGTCTTTTTTTCAAGTTCTATGTATTGTCAGTTTGTGGTTATATGTCCCAATGACCAATTTTAAAGACATGATTATTATCATGATCATTGTTTTTATTTCACTGATCTCAGATGTGTTGCCTGCATGGATGAAAAGTAGTTGAACGTTAAATTGAAATGTCTATAGCTGAGTTTTTTTGATGATTTTGAATTAATTACTGTTTCAGTTGTTTGACTTCCTGAAAACTGCAATTATAAAAAGTTTTAAAGATGGACAGTTTCAGCAAAATTCAAAATTCCTCCAGGATTTGATCCCTGCTCAGTGCAATGTGTCTGAAATGATTTTGGAGACCGTGTCAAACAGGTTTGGACTTATTTTTTCGACTTTAGAGCTTTTGGTGTAGATGCTGACATGAGCTATTGTTTTACCTTTAACAGGGGAATTTCAGGTACTGTACTCCCAATCCAATAAGATGTTATTTTTAAACATATTTTAAAATCAAAAGTGGTGTATTGAATGCCATACTGAAATTTCTGCCTAACTAGCCAGTGTTTAATAACATATGTGGTAGAACATTTTGCTGTTCATTTTTTCAAAAATTGATAATGGAATGACAGATATTGGGTTTTTTCATTCTGGTAGCTTTGGGCCACTATTTTTAGTTGTAAAACAAGTGACTAAGTTGCTAAAAATTTGTCTAGAAATTCAAAATTTGAATGAAATCTGCTATTAGCTTTTGATTTAAGTAAATGATTTTCACTAAATCTGAAATTTTTCCCTTGTTCGCTCTGCAGTGTTTTTGGGTGGGACCATGTTACCCAATCTCTGGTGCAGTTAGGATTTATATTCATGGATTCTTTTGGACCAAAGACAGGTCCATTTGGAAAAGTTGCTGAGACTAACCCACATGCAGCAAAAACTCCATCTCAACAGACTTGCAGACTGGGAGCCAAAATCCTCCTTGAAACATTCAAAGTGAGTGTGTGAAATGTGGTTTATTGTGCTCTATCTTTTACAAATATCCTCATAACATGAATTACTTTGAGTTCTATTGATATGGCTAGAATGAACACTTTGCACAAAAGGAATCAGAATCAGCACAGTGATTTCTAAATGGTGGAAAGTTTAAAAACATGAAAATGCTGTGACAGATACCAAAAAGAATTTTAAAAGTCTGATGGATTGTTGGTATTTGTGTCAAGAGGACAGGGAATCAGCTTCAGTTATGCAAAACCCTTGTTAAACCACACTTGAAGTACTAGGGTAGCTATGGTTATCACACTTCATGAAGCATATGAACCTTGGAGAGAGAGTACAGGGTGAGTTTATCAGAATAATTTGTGGACTTTCTGAATTAAAATAAGAGGAGGAATTAAGCAAATATGGGTTGTATTTCCTGAAATCTATATAGTTCAAGGGCAATTTGATCAAAGCTTTCAAGATATTACAACAGGGTAAACAGAAAAAAATATTTCTTACTAGTTGGTGAATCTAGGACTAAGAGGCATAGTCTAAGAATTACAGCCAAACTTTTGAAAAGTGAAATTATGAAACTCTCTTCCACAAATGGCAATCGATGTTAGGTAATTTTTTATTTTAAAACTGACATTGATTACTTTGGTTAACAAAAAATTTTAAGGGATTTGGGAAAAGATGGATTTATGAAACGTCCCATCATTTGTGACCTCATTGAGTGGCAGAAGGGGGATGAATGACCTCTTCTTGTTCCTACATTCATCTTATTTAATCTGCTTTTACTTTTAGTGTTGTTGGTTGAGGGAGAAATGTTTCTGAGGGCATTGGGAGACATCTCCTGTTCTCCAAGTACTGCTATTAAATCTTTAACATCCACCTGAGCAACTCAAATAGGCACAAGACTACCACTGTAATATCTGATCCCGATGATGAATGCTTTTTAATGTGTTTTTCTTTAAGTGCTCTGACTTTACTGTTTTCCCACCTTGTTTTGAATACCCGGGTGATAGAAAGCAGAATTATTGTTTTTTAAAACAATGTTTTTAAAAAATTGTTCTTGACCCAGGTACATGAGCCGATTAGGAGTGAAATCCTCGAGCAAGTTCTGAATAGGGTGGTGACAAAGAGCACGTCACCTATCAATCACTACATTGGCAAGTAGATGTCACATTTAAGCTTGTGAGAATGAAGGACTAGTTCTCTCAATACTGGGCTAGAGTGCAAAGCTTGTTGGTCTCAGAAATTTAACTGTAGGTTGCCATTATTGAGCTATTAAATTTTCACATGTGAAAGGAAGATTAATTTGACCCTATCCAAGCTGAATTTTACATTTGCGTGTTACGTATGTATTTGTCTTTGAACTACTTCACAGCATTTGAGAGTACATTGCTAACCTGGTTTTCACTGGCATTCTACATATTTAATCTGTTAATTCCACAAAATTATCTATAACTCAAATTATTTTAAATTTTGTTTAGGAGGTGGCTGATCTGGATGTACAGATTGCCTGTTGCTGTTAATAGTTTGTTTTTCTAATGCTCTATCATTTCAATTGCAATATGGAGCCCTCTTTGAAAAAATGTAATTTTTATTTTCTATCCTTTCTCAGACTTGCTTTCTGATATTGTAATCTCTGCACCTCTCATTCTCCTGGATTCTTCCTCCAAGGTGATAGAGGCATTTGACCACTTGTCCTACTTACCCCTTAGCACAGTCCAGGGGCTACTAAAGGCAGTGCAGGTAAAATGTTTTGTTCCAGCTGTTTTGTCAGCATCCATCTTATTGTGAAGCTGTGAATTGTTTCTATGAAGGCTTTGTAATTTCCTAGTCACAATTTAAAACTTGCTATTGTTGCATAATAATTTTGATCCCATTATTTTAGCTTGGCTTATTTGGTAGTGCTTCTACTTTGAAGTTTGAGTTAACTGTCTAAACTGAAACTTAAAATCAATTGTAGAGGATCTTGCATTGTTGACGATGATGTTTTTCAGACATGATGTTAAACAACCTGCTTTCTCAGTGTTTTAAGTGCCCATGGCACATCTTCAAGAACATTACAGAGTTTTTGTTTCAATCTACCTTTGCTCAATCACATATTATGAGATCTTTCAAAAGAAGATGATCCTGGAAACAATATCAGAGCCAATTTTCAAGTTGAGATGAATAAACTAACAAATTATAAGTGCATTAAATCATGTATTGCACACCATTGAGTTAAACTTTGGGTTGAACTGAACAGCGACTGAAATGAAATGTCAGTTTTGAGTTAATATTATTGGTGCATATTAATAAAACTTAGAAACCTTCAAATAGAGTTCCATTTTTGGAAAAAAAGGGATACTTGAGCATGGTGAAATGGTCATCATAGTTAGATCAAATCCTGTACTTTTCAGCAGGAGCCAATGCACAGTAATGTGGAACAGAAGGTCTGGCTGTTTTAAACTGATCTGTCTCTGAAAAACAGCAGTCAATTGTAGCACCTTTGCTGCTGTCTCAGTTCAGATCAACAAAGCTACAGTGCTACCCTATGGAATGCAAATTGTGATGAAATTCATTTCTTGTGAATCCAATTGTACCAGGGAAACTAGCATTCTTTGTGAAATGCAATAATCAGAGTACAGTCAGTTCAAGAGTTGCTAGGTGGCAACTTTCAGTTCTGCTCAGCAGTAAGGGAGGAGTTATTGCAAAGTTCCACTAATAAATAAGCACAGCTGAGCATGGGCTTGAAAAGCCCATATCCTGTCTTTGCTTTTTTTTATTATTCATTCGTGGAACATGGGTGAAATTGGCTGGCCAGCATTTATTGCCTGTGCCTAGCTGCCCCTGAGAAGGTGATTGTGAGCTGCTTTCTTGAACTGTGTCAGAAATCACACAACACCAGATTATAGTCCAACTGGTTTATTTGAAAACACAAGCTTTCAGAGCCTCACTCCTCCTTCAATGACAGAGGTTGTATCAGACACAGAATTTATAAGTAAAAGTTCGAAGGGTCACACCACTGATTAGTATTAAACCTGAGATGCTGTTAAAGCTTCAATCAGTTAGAAGGCTTTAATTGATTAATCAGTAGATGTAAGTCCCCAAATTCCTTAACAAGTCACTGTCCTGAGAGAACTGAAGGTTTTACCAGGGTAAAGAAAAAGTGACATTTTAGGTCAGACAATGCATGTTAGGTGTGAAGCCTTGTTTAGAATCTGTTTGTGTTTTGGTTTGGAGTCACACTGGCTTTAGTCTAAAGTATTGACTGACTGTCTATAAATTATGTGTTTTTTGAACAAAATAGAATGTATCTGCAAATACAGTTTCACCCCATAGATTCACGTGTGTGTGTGTGTGTGAGTGAGAGAGAGAGAGAGAGAGAGATTGATACCTAAACTATTCATGACCACCTCATATAATTGGCAGTAAAATTGGATCCTTGGTCTGATCCTCCTGGGTAGTCTATAACGGGTAAAGAAAGCAAGCAACTCCTTCACAACATTTTTTTGCATTGACATTCCATAATGGAATTGTCTCCAGAAACCTGGTAGACACATCCGTTATGCTTAGCAAATACTGGTTCGTACTTTTGGTTTTAGGAAGGGACCTACACAATTCTAATCCATGTAAAAGGTTCTTCAAATACAGGAGTTGGCATCAAAGGCGCTGGTTTTATTACTGCCTCTGGCTTTCCTACCATCTGACACGTATGACAGGTACGACTGGAACCTCTGAAAGAAAGAACTTAGATCTTTCGCACTTACCAGGCTCTGCCACCCCAACAACTACCCTTTTTTTGGGTAAAATAGGTGTTTCTTTCTTACCTGTTTGAGTTTGTTTCAATAGATGAAAGTAGAGCATGCTTGGAGTATTGGCTCTATTTTTCCGGTCCTTTCATATACATCTTAATGTAATCCAGGCCAATAAAAATGCTCTTATCTTAGCTTGATTCTTCCTCACTCCTAGATGACCTCCTACAGGTAATTCATGTGCTGCCCACAATACTTCCTGTTTTTATTCTACCGGCAACACAATCTGGTGAATATCTGCCCATTTCTCATCTGCACTTACCTGCCAAGGTCTCCATTTCCACCTTAAGATTTTGTCCTTAAGGTAATAGCATTCTGGAATACACTCTGATTCCTTTTCCGAGTAAATCGCTTATCGTCTCATTTTTTTTTTGTAACTCCATTAATCTTTCAGAACTAAACACCTCTGCCTGATCCTCTACCTGCTTAGATTTTTCCTTTACCATCTCATTAAACAGTGTGTCAGCTAACTGGACCTCAACTCCTCCATCTTTCTCTTTTGTTTTCCATTCTTGTTTTCGCTTATGGCTGTGGGATCTTGTCACCCCACAGTCTGGAAAAATTCCAGGGTATTTTTCTTTTAACTCCTCAGTTCCCTGGTTTTCTTTTGGCTTTTCCACTACAATGGGCATCACTCCCACCTGTGATCCAGCTATATCGTTTCCAAGCGTAAACTGCATTCCTGGAATAGGCAATTTTTCCCATCACTCCCACTATCACTTCCCCAGTCTTGATTGGACTTTCCAGCCTTATCTTACACAGGGGAACACTACTCCTTTCTCCATTTATTCCACAGATTACCACTCTCTTAGGCAATATTTCAGAAGGAGTGCAAATATTTTCATCTCTTACAATAAGAGACATATCTCTCAATATTTTAACTTCTTTACCTACTCCCCTGTTCTACCTGAGTAAATCTTACCCACATAGGTGAAGTCTTTGGGCGCTATCTACATTTCCAGCCCCTGACTAGGCTGTGGACTGTCCTGCAGCTCCTTGACTTCTCTTGGGATTTCCTTCTCTGCCTTAAATAATCACAATGATTTGGCCTCTTTTACCACATCCTTTTACCCCAGTGCCTTTCTTAAACTGCCAACTCTGTGACTTTGAGTGTCGCACCTTATTGCAGTTAAAAAAACCTAAAAACACTGTTCCCAGTGAGATCTTCATTTTGTTTTTCATTAAAGGATCTCCCACTTTCCCAATTTCTGTTCCTCATAGAATGAAATTGTTGTTGGAAGCTAGATTTAAAGCGTATTCATCCGCCATCTCTGCAACACTTCTTGCTATTTTAACTTTCTGTTCCTCAGCATGAGTTCTTATCACTACCGGAAGTGAGTTTTTAAACTCCTCCAGCAGAATAATGTCTCTAAGAGCCTCACACGGCTTTTCTATCTTTAATGCTGTCATCCACCTATGGAAGTTGCTCTGTTTAATTCTTTCAAACGCAATGTAAGTCTGACCTGGTTCCTTTCTGACCTTTCTGAACCGTTGTCTATATACTTCTGGTACCAATTCGTAGGCACTCAAAATAGCCTGTTTTACTACTTCATATTCTCCTGTCACCTTCTCTGACAGCGCTGCAAGCACCTCACTCGTGCTGCCTATCAGCTTGGTCTGAATTAACATTACCCACACAGTCATCTGTTTAGCTAATTTCTCAAAGGTAATGAAAAAGGGTTCCAAATCTTTTTCATCGAATTTTGGTAATGTTTAGGCATATTTGTATATATCCCAACCAGGCTGTTGGTCACAAGGAGTTTGCTCATCACCACTTCTATCTTGTACTTTTTATTTCTGTCATTTGAAGTCTTTTTGCTTCAAATTCCAACCTCATCTTTTCCAACTCGAATTCTTTCCCTTTCTTTCCCTTTCTTTACCTTCTTCTAGGACTCTTCTTTTCTTTTCTTTTTCTTCTAACTCCAGCCTTTTAAATTCACTTTCTAATTCCATTTGTCTCATTTGCATCTTAATTTTTTCTAACTCCACTGCACTTGACTGTTTCTCTGATATACCTAAATGCTTGGCTAACTCTGTTACAATTTCAACTTCTTATTATCCCCAGTTAAACTCAATTTTAGCCTGTTTACTAAACCTAAAAGGGTTACCTTTTTCTGTCTTCCTAAACTTCCTTGGCAAATTTGGAAAGCATCTTCAAAAACCCCCAGGAACTTCTTTAGCAATGTTAAAAGCCACTCTCCCACTTTTGATTTAATCAGCAACAAGTGACCGAAATTAAGCAGATTTTCCACTTCTCACTAAAGTTTTTTTTTTAAAGATCTAGGACAGTCATCTCCAGATCTGTTTAAATCTGCTGGGACCCTAAATCTGTCTAAATCTGTTCAGATCCCGGACGAGCCCCCCAATCTGTTATAAATCAGAGGTTAACCCTGCTCTGAGAATTAAAACCGAAACGCCCAAAGAGGAGCACCTCGCTCTATAGTCTGTAAAAGGAGTGTGAAATGTGGTGTAACCTGCCTTTCAGCAATTTCTAATGGTTAAATAATATAAATCCCTGACACTTACTTTAAAATCAACAAGTAACAATTTATTTATCTAACAGCAAACAAATTAACTAAACTATTAACATACTGAATAAATCCCTTCCAACTACTAACTATTCCTGAATAAAGCAAGATTCTAATGGTATGCTGTTCCAATAAATACAAGTCCCATTTATATTAAAAAAAATAGAATTTAGCCTCTCGAAATTATAGCCAGGTTACGTGTCTTCTGGAATGTTTTGTGCCTTCTGCATTGATTCTTCTGTCAGGGATATTAACTAATTGTGCTGTTGGCACCATTGTTTTTTAGATGGTGCTTTCTCTAAGACATGGAGGAGGTTGTAAGAGCCTCTTGACAGCTGAGGGCTGTTAGCTCTGGCGGATGGCAGCTACCTCTGGGGCCTTGTTCAACTGCTCCCTTTTTATACCCTTGATGACGTATCAATATTTCTTACAATAGGATGGGTCCTATGTTGTCAAAACCATCAGATTTAAATTTAATTGGTTTTTGGTATCTAAGTTCAAATTGGTTCAAATTGATTCGCTAAATTCAAAAGCTTGTTGTCTTGCTAAAAACTGCTACTTGGTCTGCAAACTCTACAGCCTTTCGATACACATGTTTTGGAGTAGATTTGTAGCTTGGGTTGTGGGTGTTGTGGTTGGTTGAGACTGCAGAGACTGTGACAAACATTACATCGGACCAACAGGAAGGAAATTAACAACAAGGGTACATGAACCAATTGGCTAAAAAAAGACACGACCAATACTCGCTCATCTCTATCCACATGGATAAGGAAAACCACCAATTTGACTGGGGACAACACCAAGATCCTGGGACAAGCAAAGCAGAGACTGGCATGGGAATTCTTAGAAACCTGGTATTCCACGAACAAAGCCATCAACAAACACATAGAGCTCGACCCCATATACACTCCACTGCGAAGGAAAACCGGAAGTGAGGTAATCCAGCTCAACGGACTCCAGAGTTTAAAAACTAGGCGGGAAAGCACAAGCACAAGCAGAGGCTGCACTGATGATGTTACCCAGCAGGGTAATGAAACGGCTGTGGAACAACGAACCAGCTCGGTGAGCCAACCAACCACAACACCTGTTTCAATTCGGGCATTCTCTGTGTACTTGCAAACTTCCAAGCTGCAGCTTACGGACATCCATTTTAAATCTCTAAGCACGGAAAAAGCACATGACCTTTTAAAGGGACCACACAATGCTTTCCCCCCCCCTAGCATTTTACAAACACCAAATTCCGACTTCTGCCTCCCAATCCACAAGTACTGTACCCAACATCACAACACCACATATTAATTATGAGTGTTGGAAATAAGTTATACATGTGTCATAGATTGGATTACTGTTTGAAAGTATTATTGAAACCATGGAATCTTGCGTCTTTATTCTCCTAATGAATCCTCTGGATATCACTTTATGTCTCCTTTTGAACTAAAAGGTGACTGGTCTCTAGTCAGATAGTTACATAATTTGTTGGTTTGACCTGGGATTGTGACATAATACAAACTGAATCAGTGGGACAGCCTAAATTTGAGCCAGTGTTTCTTGTGATACGAAGCCCAACATTATGCAGGTGCTTTAAAATTTCATTTCAATACTTCGCTGTAGATATTTTGATAACTTAGCATTTTTTTTTGTTTTAAAGCCTCTGCTGAAAGTCAGTATGTCCATGAAGGATTCGTTAATTCTGGTCCTGCGGAAAGCCATGTTTTCCAGGTGAATTTACTCGATGACTTTTTATTCTTAATAGAAGTATGGAAGAGTGTTAGCTTCTGAAAGTGCAGCAATACCTATTTCTTGTTTACTCTAACAGATTAATATTGCAATATGTAAACTTGTTGGAACTATTTCAAGGGAACGGAATCATTTTAGGAGGTTTCTGTAGCCTTAAGTTATGTGGTAGATTTTTTAATGGTGTGGACTTATTTTTTAATTGTTTGTAATGTGCTGATTTTGCTGACGTGCTAAAAGAATTGATCCTTGATCAGATTGTTTCATAGACATTGATAAATATTTGGTACATCTCCAAGTGTATAGATCGAGAGTGTTATTAACAAGCTTTCTGACTGCAGACCATCATAGCTGAACCCAAATCTGTCCACACTTATTTTTTGTAAGGGTAAGCCTACAGCAATCAGGAGCAGGAACCAAACTGTTATCTTAGTGGAGCTCAGTCAACTTTTCAAACTGTAAATTACATTAGTAAACTGTTCTTCTGACTCAGTTAAGCATTTATGCAGTAAACAATAAAGGAAGGAAATGGGGTTGGTCAGATCCAACTGTACGTTTGGATTTGAATGTTAATTGCACGAGTAGCATGAGAAAAGTCTTTGGGCAGTCTCAACCCTGGCTGCCTGTGGCATGGGCCCAAGAGACACTGTTGGCTCAAATGCTGCAGATAACCATTCAGACCAAACTGAGGAAGTCTGGACATCAAAGAGGGCTAGATAATATACTTTTGCAGTAGGCATGGTAATTTGAGATTGTGGCTGAGGTCAGATCAGGGGGTGGAGGGCAATTTTATTTAGCAGCTGCCTTGAACTGGAACTGCTCGCTGCTAATACTGCGGAAAGTTTTCAGATTCCACTGGTATGCGGCTCCAAAATAGTTATGCCAGCTGGCATACCGATTTCCTGGCGCCATTCCCAATGCCAACCCTGTTTACCGCAGTACATTGATGTCAGCCATGGGGTATAAGGACGGGGTTTGGAGGTGGTTTTACTTTAATGCCAGAGTGGGGTCTTAAGAGCAGGGAACGAATACCGGACTTGAAATGTTAACTCTGTTTTTCTCTCTCTACTGATGCGGCCAGACCTGCTGAGTTTCTCTCGCATTTTCTGTGTTTATTTAAGGTTTCTAGCATCTGCAGTATTTTGCTTCTTTACTAGGACAATTGAGCAGCCATTTGCCCATAAAAATGTAAAGAGTTGGCAATGGGACTATGGCTGTCAGATTTTGGCCCAGTGGTAATGAGGAACAACACCATGTCCTGGAAGAGTGGAATCTTAGGCATGAGGAGAGTGCAGGAGAGGAACAAGTGGCAGGAAGAATTCAAAGGTGATACCCTCAGTGTAGAGTTTCCAAAAAAGACCGAGCTACCATGAAATAGCCAAGAACCACTGCCAGGAGATTAGTGAGATGGTCATGGTAGGCCTCCAATTTACAACCTTGCCGTCACTGTCAGTCACTGTGACCTAGAAGCTGATCACTTCTGACTTTTTCTTATTGTGGACCCTGCTGGCAACTTTCAAACATCTGCACACCACTGCCTTGTGGCAGTTTATCAATGCTTTATGACTGTGTAGGGATAGGGGAATGTTACTCTATTAATCAAGCTAAAATGACTGTACAATTGGGAGGGCACAACAATTTTAAAAATGGATTAAATTACTGGGCAAACCACAACACACTTGCAGCTTTGAGCTGGCATATTTACAGTATTGTTTGTGCTCATCCGCACCACTCTTTCTTTGCTTTTCTTCAGCCACTTGGACTCCCGAAAGTCAGCAGTGGCTGGCTTTCTGCTGTTGCTGAAGAACTTTAAAGTGTTGGGAAGTCTGGCTTCCAGTCAGTGCACTCAAGCTCTCACGGCCAGTCAGGTAACTCAACTGTATTCATTCTTTCCAATTATATTTATTGTAACTGTGTTAATTTTGTCAAATTATATATTCCCACCCTAAAGAGGTTAGGTGTCCTGTCTTAGTTTTAAATTTGATTTTATGAAAATCTGGTCCAATAGAAGCTGGTTAATATGCTGTTCGTAATGAACAGCTTTCCTTTAAAGAAAATTAAACTATACCTGGAAGTAGATAAGTATTTGTGCAGAACAAGTGAACCCTAAAACACTTTGAGCTAAGGAGTCAGTTGAATTTAAGAATTAGCCTGCCATCTGGTGGAATTATTCCAAACTGTAGGACTTGGTAAATAGATTGTAAAGTGTTGAGGTCTGCAGGCTAGTTGCCATGGAGGAATGGTCTGAGATTATCAATTAGGTTGACTTCATTGTTTCATTTTAAAAAATTAAATCTGGGACTATTTGATCTTTATGGTAAGTTGGAAATAACACTGAAATATTTATTTTTATGTTGTCATTGTTCAGGTGCAAGTGGATGTGCATATGCGTTATAACGCCTCTGCTAATGAAGCACTTTGCTTGGAGATCTTAGGCAGCCTGAGGCGCTGTCTGAGCCAGCAAGTTGATGTTAGGCTCATGCTCTATGAGGTATTAATGTTAAAAGCTATCCTTATAATATGTCAAATTTGATCACTAAGAACTGCAGTTAGCACTCACTACTAATACTTCTAAAAAGAAGTTTTCTTTTAGAGCATCACATTTTCCTCCTTCACATTTTATGTCAGCATTAAAGCTTTTCTTAAATTTCAAACTAGCAAGAGAATCTGGATCTGGGTGATTCAATTCTCACTTTTTTATTCTACTTTAGTTAAGAAACTGCTATTTCTTATTTCTTTTACTTTTGAAAGAACACTGATCATCAAAGAAAACTATGCTTTCTGTGTTGGGTACTTTGTGAATGTTACGTTCATCTAGGAGATTATATTTCCCTATTTACTTTAATTCTATTTTTGACCAGGTTAAAGAGTTAATCTTTGATAGTTTGCTTAACTGTTTCCTCTACTGTTCTTGTAGGGCTTGTTTGATGTTCTGCGTCGAAATTCACAGCTGGCATATACCATCTTACAAACACTACTTTCACAGGTCAGTGACAGGATATAGATAAATAATAACACTGGCTTTGACAAGATGAAGCATTGGACAAATTAGTCGGTTGAATTTTTGAAAGATCTATTTCTCCTCGAGATGTAGGCCAAATAGACTACTGCACCTGTGCTAAAATTGTAAAAGAACTTTCCAGTTGCCCTCCTTGCTGTTTCACCATAGGCCCTGCATATTTTTTTTTCTCACATAGATTGAGCATGTATCAATTACTTTTTGAAAGTGAATATTGAACCCGTTTGCACTGTACTTTTGAGATGGTGCATTCCAGATCATTTTAATGCACCACATTAAAAAAAAAACTCTCATCACCCTTCTCATAGCCTTGCTAATTATCTTAAATGTGAGGTTTCTGGTTATCAGTCCTTCCAGTAGTGAATACAGTTTTTCATTTACTTGATAAAATGTGGAGTTGGAGGATCACAGCAGTTCAGCCAGTATCAGAGGAGCAGGAAAGTCGACGTTTTGGGTCTAGACCCTTCATCACGTTTTATCGACTCTGACTTCAAGCATCTGCAGTCCTTACCATCTCCTTTTCATTTACTTATACTTTTTCTGCTGATGGACTGAATGGCCTCATTCTGTGACTGTCTAACTCTGTTCATTCATTCTAAGCCTTCTTTGTTATAAGGAGAATAATTTACAACTTCTTTAGTCTCTCTGAAGCCCTTCATCCCTGATGTCACTGATAAATCTCTTGTGTGTCCTTTTTAAGGCCTGGGCATTCTTCTTAAAATGTGTGATGCCCAGAATTGGGTATAGTTCTCCAGCTGAGGCCTAATCACTGATATGTGAATGTTAAGCATCCTTGCTTTTGTAAGCTGTACCAGAATTTATAAAAGCAAAGACACAGCAAGCTGTTATAACTGCTTTGATCCCCTCCTCTACCACTTTTAAAGATGTGGATGTGAAGCACCCCGCTAATGTTGCTCAATGTCAATAATTAAATTGTTTTCCTCCTAATATCCCAGTAATATTTGGTCAGTATCTTTTTTGGGACACACTACTCTGGGGATATGTAGCAAAAACAAAGTGTATGTTGGGACATATTAGTGTGCACTGGTGTGAGTTAGAACAAAACCACTTCTAAATGAGAGAAAGCAGTGCTGGGAATTGAAAAAGTTTCCAGATCAGCTGCCCAGTATTAATAAAGCATAGCTTGGGCTGGATGCAGATTATAAATACTCCTACACTTTCATTAAGTGCTCCCAGCTCAGGTGCAAAATAAAAACCAAAAGAACTGCGGATGGTGTAAATCAGGAGCAAAAACAGAAGTTGCTGGAAAAGCTCAGCAGGTCTGACAGCATCTGTGAAGAAAAAAATCGGAGTTAACGTTTTGGGCCCTGGTGACCCTTCCTCAGAACTAATGCTAGCTGGGAAAACGTTGGTTTATATGCAAAAAGTGGGGAGGGTGATGGGGTAGGGTGTAAGCGATAGGATAAAGGATAGAGCCCGAAGAGAGGGAAGAGCATTTGGATAGACAAAGGAGTTGATAACGATATGGCTAGGAGGGTGAATAGCTGTTATTGGGGATTGTGAATGACTAACAATAGGTAGTGTGTAATGGTAGGCTGAGTGATAACTGGTGTGTGGGGCAGGGGTCTAGGACATGGGAGAGTTTAGGCCCTAAAATTATTGAACTCAGTATTGACGCTGGAGGACTGCAATGTCCTCAAGCAGAAAATGGGGTGTCGTTCTTCCAGCTATTCCCCTCTTCAGGCTCTATCCTTTATCCTATCGTTTACTCCCTATCCTAACGCCCCTCCCTATTTTCTGCATATAAACTGACGTTGTCCCAGCTACCATCAGTTCTGAGGAAGTGGCCCGACCCGAAACGTCAACTTTCCTGCTCCTCTGAAGCTGCCTGGCCTGCTGTGTTCCTCCAGCTCCACATGGTGTAGTCTCTGACTCCAGCATTGGCAATTCTAACTATCTGTGATTGATATCATGTTGCCCTAAAAAACTAACATGTACTGCTATAACATTGCTGATCTCTTCTCAGCTAAAACGATATTATGAAGTGGAGGAGGACTTACTGCCACCTCTCAAGAT